TAACGAAAATGCCATCCGAAAAAATTCGTCCAAATTTCCGCTCAAATCGGCCATTGCTAGACTTCATCGTTGGTGGAGAGTACCCTAAGGCCGAATCTGTGATGCATCGCCTTCAAAATCCAAGGAAAATGACCATTCCAAAAAATCGCTGAAATCGGTGATGGTACCCTTTTTGAATCTAGAAAAAATTGCCCCGGGAGTTTTCCGTCTGAATCGCTCTTTAATAGACTTATTCATCGCTAATTAATAGCCTCAGGCCGAATCCGTGATCTGCACCCTTCAAAATCGAAGGAAAACGTCCTCCCGAAAAAATCAACTAAAAATTATGAAAATGTCATTCGAAAAAATTCGTCCAAATTTCCACCCAAATCGGCCATTGCTAGACTTCATCGTTGGTGGAGAGTACCCTAAGGCCGAATTTGTGATGCATCGCCTTCAAAATCCAAGGAAAATGATCATTTCAAAAAATTGCCGAAATCGGTGATGGTACCCCTTTGGAATCTGGCAAAAATTGCCCCGAGAGTTTTCCGACCGAATCGCTCTTTAATAGACTTATTCATCCCTAAATAATAGCCTTTGGCCGAATCCGTGATCTGCACCCTTCAAAATCGAAGGAAAACGGCCTCCCTAAAAAATTGCCTAAAAATTACGAAAATGTCATCCGTAACAATTCTTCCAAATTTCCGCCCAAATCAGCCTTTGCTAGACTTCATCGTTGGTGGAGAGTACCCTAAGGCCGAATCTGTGATGCATCGCCTTCAAAATCCAAGGAAAATGACCATTCCAAAAAATCGCCGAAATCGATGATGGTACCCCTTTGGAATCTGACAAAAATTGCCCCGGGAGTTTTCCGACCGAATCGCTCTTCAATAGACTTATTCATCCCTAAATAATAGCCTCAGGCCGAATCCGTGATCTGCACCCTTCAAAATTGAAGGAAAATGGCCTACCGAAAAAATCGCCTAAAAATTATGAAAATGCCATCCGAAAAAATTCGTCCAAATTTCCGCCCAAATCGGCCATTGCTGGACTTCATCGTTGGTGGAGAGTGCCTTATGGCCGAATCTGTGATGCATTGCCTTCAAAATCCAAGGAAAATGACCATTCCAAAAAATCGCCGAAATCGGTGATGGTACCCCTTTGGAATCTGGCAAAAATTGCCCCGGGAGTTTTCCGACCGAATCGCTCTTTAATAGACTTATTAATCCCTAAATAATAGCCTCAAGCCGAATCCGTGATCTGCACCCTTCAAAATCGAAGGAAAACGGCCTCCCGAAAAAATCGACTATAAATTACGAAAATGCCATCCGAAAAAATTCGTCCAAATTTCCGCCCAAATCGGCCATTCCTAGACTTCATCATTGGTGGAGAGTACCCTAAGGCCGAATCTGTGATGCATCGCCTTCAAAATCCAAGAAAAATGATCATTCCAAAAAATCGCCGAAATCGGTGATTGTACCCCTTTGGAATCTGGCAAAAATTGCCCTGGTAGTTTTCCGACTGAATCGCTCTTTAATAGACTTATTCATCCCTAAATAATAGGCTCAGGCCGAATCCGAGATTTGCACCCTTCAAAATCGAAGGAAAACGGCTTCCCGAAAAAATCGACTAGAGTCTCAACTGAGCGAAGCCTTCCAACAGGAGGAACTCTACTGGAAAAAGAAGTCGCGCAATAATTGGCTACAAGGAGGGGATGCCAACACCCGGTTTTTCCACTTGATGACAATGCTACGACGGAGAGTGAACCTCATCCTGCACTTCGTGACGAGTTTGATGAAGTCCATACTGAAGAGCCAAAGAAAGGGGAAGTGTATGTCTCTTACTTCCAATTTTTGTTCACTTCTAATGGACTGGATCCATCAGATTTTATTGCTAGTTTACATCTGCCTCTCAAGACTATTGCAGTAATGAATAATGTTCTCACTTCCCAAGTGTCAAGGAAGCCTTTTTTAGCATCGGGAAATACCAAGGTTCGAGCTCCAACGGGTTCATAGCTGGCTTCTATCAACGTTTCTAGGATGAGATCGGATCGGACGTCACTGCTGCAATTATGTCCTTCTTTCAGACGAGTCGGCTTCTACACAGTTAAATCATACATTGCTCACTCTCATACCCAAAGACGCCAATGCAGATTCAATGAAGCAAATGAGGCCGATTGGCATCTGCCAGGTATTGTATAAAGCCATCTCTAAAATCCTTGCCAAGAGGCTAAGTTCTATTCTTCCCCATGTTATTAGTCCATTCCAGAATGGGTTTTTGAAAGATCGTTGTATCTCTGATAACATTCTCATTGACCAAGAAGTTATGCAACTTTTAAAGACCAAGATTCGTGGGAACGAGAAATGGATGGCACTCAAACTAGACATGGAGAAAACGTACGGCCAAGTGGAATGGGAATTCCTTTTTCAAGTTATGGAATCGATGGGATTTTGTCAACAGTGGATGAAATGGATCAAGGGTTGCGTCACCACGGTTAGATTCTCGATTTTACTCAATGGAGCTGAGTATGGGTACTTTCAACCACAACGAGGTATTCGTCAAGGTGACCCTTTATCCCCCCTCCTTTTTGCCATTTACAGTGAAACTTTTGCAGCAAAAATCAGCCAAACAGTGGCTAGCTCCTCACTCCATGAACTTAAGGTCCACATGTCTGCTCCTCCCATATCATACTTATTCTTTGCTTATTAATCATATTTGTTTCTCCGAGCATCTATCCCTGAATGTGCTTCACTATTGCAACTGTTATCAGAATATGAAATGTTTAGTGGCCAACGGGTAAATTTGCATAAATCGGCTGTTTGTGTGAGTGGTAATGTATCGGACCAGGAGTTGATCGCTATTAATTCATTGAGGACGCTCAAAAACTTTGGCATTTCAGTTCATTGAGGAGGACTTGGCTGCTCGAATTCGAAGCTGAAGACTAAGGCCATGTCCCTAGCGGCGAAAGAAGTTGTTATCAAAGCGATTGGGGCTGCTGGTCCAATCTATGCTATGTTGACGTTTAGGCTCCCGCAAGAGACTTTTCGTAGGTGCAATGGGCAGGTGTCAAAGTTTTTGTGGGCAGGACAAGACAAAGAGACTGGCATTCATTGGATTTTTTGGAGTGCAGCCTGTCGAGTAAATTTGTGGGTGGTTGGGTTTTCGAGATTTTAACCATTTTAATATTGCTCTTTTGGCTAAGCAGGCATGGCGGCTTTTATGCAATCCATCCAACTGCATCGCCCAAATTTATAAGGCCCATGTATCATCCTCATCTGCCTTTTCTCGAAGCAACATTAGGCTACCGACCCTTGCTGGCTTGGCAGAGTGTTTTGGAGGGCAGAGATCTACTGGTTCGTAGGTTAAGATGGCAGGTAGGAGATGGTTTCCGAATCCGAGCACTGCAGGACAACTGGCTGCCATCCTCCCCTCCATCTTCCCCGGTATAACAGCCTGGTTTACATTCTTGCCCTTCCTTTGTTTCGGATCTAATATGCTCAAACACTCACTCTTGGAATAATCCTCTGCCAGTCTCCTTGTTTATTCAGGAAAGTGTAGAGATTATTTTGTCCGTCCCACTGTCGTCTTTGTTTGCGAGTGATAAGTTGATTTGGCATTACTCCTCCTCTGGCATCTATACAGTGAAAACAGGTTATCAGCTATTATCGAATGAACTCAACTTGAGACAGCCGCCTGTGCAGCTCCCCTTTGCCACTCCCTTTTGGAAACTGCTTTGGAGCTTGCCATTGCCGCCCAAACTGAAATTTTTATTTATGGAGGGCGGTTTGTGGCTTCTTGCCGTTGAAAACTATGTTGTCCTCCAAAACTTTAGTATCTGACACAATTTGCCCCATCTGTTCGGAGGAGCCAGAGTCCTTCTTCCACTTCTTCTTTTCCTGCAGGATAGCTAGAGGACTTTGGAGATTGGTGAATCTGGAAACTAGGCGTAACACCTTGGTGGGAATGAATTCGGATGATGCATGGAATGATTGGAATCACCTCTTCTTTTCTATGAATTTTTCCAAAATATAAATAGCTTATGTTGTTTTTCTCATTTGGCGATTATGGAAAGGAAGATGCTGGGCGATTCATGATCATATCTAGTATCTTCCACCAGCACTGTTTCGGCAATTTCATCGACAGGTGGAAGAATGTCGAGCAGTGGAGCAGCTTCCCCCTCTCCAACAGCGTGGTGCTCATGGCCATCCTTCCAACAATATAGCTAGATCCCTTGGTGGTGGTGGTGGTGGACATGTTAATGGTGAATTATCCCCGCAAACAGTTAATGTGTGGTTTGATGGTGCTACCAAACGAGGATTTTGTTGGCTTCCAACAGTCAGCCTTCAGGTACTGTGCTATTTGCTTTTGGGAAGTACTATGAAGGGATTCATGATCCATTCCTTATGGAATGCTTAGCGTTAAGAGATGCGATCCAATGGTGCCTCACTCATTCTTTTCTTGTTGTTCGTTTTCATGGGGACTCTCAACTATTAATTCGGCGAATGGCGGGAGGTGATCTCAACATGATCGGGGAGGAGCTATACTCGAGGATGTTCGGAACTTGGCCGCTTCGTTTACTAGAGTGTCATTCTGTTTTGTTTCTCGTAGACTCAATAGGGCTGCCCATCTTGTGGCACAAAAGGCCCTTTCATCGTGGTTCGACTACTTATCAACTCCCGCACACTTCTTTTTTCCTCTGTATGATTGACTTTTTTTCCTGACTTGGTTAAAAAAAAAACCATGTTTTGGCTCAGGGGGATTATCAGTATCTGGTGATTGAAAAGTTAGTTGAAACATATGACGAATCTATACACGAAAACGGGAACCAAGATCTGGATGAATTTGTGCCTTCCGGATGCTTGTCAAATTCATAATTGGAAACAGAAATGAATCGTGATCGACAGAATCAAAATTAATCAGGGATTTGCTTCTGATTGATGCTGCTGCTGATAGTATATATATGCATTAATTGTGACGAATGCAAAGATGATTTTGATTATTGAAGGCGCCAACAGGTTGTTTAAAGGCTAATTCAGTACAAAAATGACACCTTAACCCCACAATAACAACCGGGCAAAAAAGATAAACCCTGGTTTTGATGTGGAAGTTCTTCCAATCTGGACAAAGATCGAACCCGTTGCAGTCAGAGTCGAACCAAACTGTGACAAGGGAATGGGGTTTGATTTGAAAATCTGAACCTCCAAAGTGGGACCCTGTCCTGCCTTTTCTAGCCGGCTACGAGCCCATCGCCCATTGATTGATTGTCTAGTCTCGTGTTTAAGGTATGAATTAGACGAACCACCTGAAACGTACCTCCTCTAGAAAAGAGGAAATTAAAGATTCTTGCTGGCGGAGCGACGATTCATTTGCCTGTGACAGATTTCAATACCTTTTTCTTCTTGGAATAAGATAAACACCACGCCACCGTTTCCTTCTTCTTTCATTTTCAGCCCGAATGCGACGCTCCTTTGCTCATCAATGGCGAGCCCTGTGACAGAGGTAATCTTTTCCCCCCTCCCCTGCTTCTTCTTTCTGCCCAACAGAAGTAAAGATAGAAACTTTAGCTAGATTTCTTTCGTGGGGTTTGTCTGCAAAATCCTTCTGCTATGTCTTTGGATGAAAAGTATTGCCTTTTTTCCTCTGTTGGTGAGAATCCTTTGTGCATACGGATTCGTGTGCTCTGCTCTGGGAAGTTTTGTGTCGGTGACTTGAGATTCCCTTTATTTCCCCCCTAATCTATAGAGCAACGAGCAATCATGGAGTTCGAGTGGGTGGCCGCTTGGGCTGCAAATCATGAATTTAAGACTTCGGGTGATGGAGATCAGCAGAAACCAGACCAGCCGTCGTCTTCCGCCGTCGTCCAGTTTCTCCTCTTTCTCTTCCTCAAATCTGGACACCGAGGTAATAGGAATCGATTCAAATCAAAACTACACATTGAAAACCCAACTCTTTAATTACTTTTACCGATCTAAAAATTTTACGTTTTGCAGTCCACGGCCTCTTTCTTCCAAGACAACAGCGTGTCGTTGGGGAGGCTAATTGGGTTTCGGCCAGCTGCCCAGAGAAGGAACGGCGTCGCGGCGGCGGCGGCGACGGAGGGTAATGGGTGTGAAGGAGGTTCAAGAGGACATGGGAGAGTAGGAATCTGCATACCCTTTATACTCGGTACCATTGACAAGATCAGCATCAGAAGATCAAAGGAGAGAGGTCGAGTGAGTGATATCATCTAGTGCAGAGTGGATTGAAACTTGTTCTTGTTCATGCTTTCTGGTCTATTGAGAAGACCATTGCTTTGTGGCCGATTCGTGAACTGAAGGGTGTGTGTAGATTTGTCTTTTGTGTATCTTAATTCTTGCGGTTTAAGTGTTCCTCCATAGGCCACTCTTACATGGGATTTTGATTCCTTTTTCATCACATGGTTTCCTTGACAAGTTGAATTGCATCAATGGGAGGATAATTGGTAGAATTGCTCTAATGTAATTGATTCGATAAACATTGAAACGAAATTGAAGTTGCATTTTCTAACGAATACATTACATACTAACTGAGCGCAAAGAAAGGGAAATTCTAAGGCATATTGGTGAATTTGTCGACCCTCTTCATCTTGGAGAAATCAAAGTTCTTGAGGAGTTCTTGCTGCTGAATCTCGTCGCTGGAAGGGAGACCCATCTGCTTCTGGCGCTGGTCGAACATCATCTTCTCCACCGTCGACCTCAACTCCGGATCCAAATCACTCAGCCTGCTGGGCTCTGGCTCCACCTTCTGCGTATCAATCTCCGGCCCTCCCTTCACCAGCGACTTCCACCAATTCTTGTCGTCCGATTTCGTCAGCAAAACAGAGACCGTCTTCTGATCTTCCAATTGCCAGAAAGACTCGCCCACTTTCACTGGACCCAACAGTTCGCCGTCGATAATCATCGTCGGCTCGCCCTTGAGCCCGAGCTTCAGAGACTTCTTCCTGATCTCGCACGAAATCTGCCTCGATTTCGTCCCGGGAGGGACTGGGACAGTGATCGTTACCTCTTGAAGGCTCTGCCCCCACGAATACTTCTCCAAATCGAGTCCATTGCCGGCGTTCGGAAGAAGAGAAGTGGGTTCCTCCTTCTTCTCCGGCGGAGGGGAGTTGGGAATTGGGTTGGTCTGCGTTTCGTCGATGTCGGAGAGGATCGCCATGGCTGCTACTGTTATTGCGTCTCAAGTTGATTTGTGAGTTTGGGACTTGGAGGATTCGATGGGCGGAGAGGGGTATTTATCGGAGAATTGTGGTCGGAGCTTTCCGAGTTTAAAGAGGAGAAGGAAATCCGGTTCAATTTTGGTATCTGATGATCCATTATCAACGACGACAAAAACCACATACGGCGTCGTTTGGGTATATCCACGCCTTAAACCCACCAGAGAGTCTCTGACCTCTCTTTATCCAAAACCTAAAACCCTCGAAACGAATAGAGATCGCGATGTCCGCCACCGCAGTCGCCAGGTCAGTCCTCCGTTTCACCGCCGTCAGGCCTGCCACCGCACGCCGATTACCCTCCAGAGCTAGGCCGGCGTTCTCCACTTTCCCCGCTGCAAGGAGAACCCCTCAGCCTTCTCTTCGTATTTCCAGGTAATTTGATAGATATTCTCCTCGCAATCGGACTCCGATTGTTATGATCCAGTTTTCTGGTAAATTGATGATGAACTTTTCAACTTAGGCCGATGAGCTGTTTGGCTGACACATTGCTTCCGTATCACTCCGCCAACGCCTCCGCATTGATCAATTCGAAGCTCTCCGTCTCTCGCTGCGCTTATGTCTGGACTCTCGATGGTGACTAAGTATTTCCATTTTTACTTGAGAATTAAAACCCTAGAGTTACTTGGTTATGATGAATTGGTTAATTTGATTTGATTGATTGATTGATGTGTATGATGGAAATGTGAATCCTAGCATAACCATGAAAGTTCGAGTCTAATGTCCCCATATTCTGCAGTTTTCCAGAGTTCTCAAAGGGAAGTGTTTGCCTGTTTGGCATATGCTTTATGCAACAATCCTTTTCTCGAACGGTTTTGTAAATCACGTCGTTGTGCAGCATGCAACAGTCTAGACTGCGCTCGTAGCCGTAGGCAATTGATCTTCTATTGGTTGCCAATTTGCCCGATGGAGGAAGATTGTTCTTCATTTGCTCGTGTCGATGTTCTTGTGAAAAGATTCTATTGTATGGATTGACTGTCTGCGTTTTTATGTGCATCTTGCCGAATTTACAGAGCAATCCTTTTGGAATTTCTGTGTCTGGATCATGTGCTTTGCTGCAAGTGGCTTTCATTTTCGATACATATCGAGTCTATATTGACGCCTTGCTTCTTTGTTGTTCTATGCAGATGGATAATTAGTTCTATACCGTGATGGAGAGTGTGCGCTATCTTCGTTATGTTTCAGATGAGATGGCGAGTTGTCGTTGAAGGCGTTTCAGGCGTTGAATGACCAAATTTAAATATTCGAAAGTTCCTATGTTTATACAATTCAATCTGGTTTCCAACTAGAATTTGAGTTTTGGAACAGTTACCAAGTTTTAATACTTGCAGTTGAAATTTGAACTGCTTGTATTCATTCTCCTGTGAGAGGGAAGGAGTTGCAATGTACTCAGCCTCACGTCGAGGCATTATTTATCGAGTTGCATCGATCTAGGAAGAATCAATTATAGCCTCTGCTGGGAGCTAGCTATGTGCCCATGTCATTTGCATATATGCCTCCCAAGTTCCAGCAAAACTGGAAATTGGAAGCATGCTGTTCATATCACTGTCCTCTGTGCAGTTTCTCATGCCTATGTCCGACGATGCTGGTCTCTTCCTCTTGCTCTTAGCTGAACAGTCTTCCTTGGTTCTTACCCTCATCGATCTGCCTTAACTATATGGGTCGACACCGTGCCAAGATGCTACTCAATTCCGATTTGGTCACAACGACACAGTGTACATAGATTCCTGCTGGATCCCAATCCTAGTTATAACATGCCAATTGAAGATTCAATTACAAGTACTGCTTGTACGGAACGCAATAAGAAGGCTACGAAAGGCCACAAAGAGTTATATGGATACTTCAACCATATAAAGCCAGGATATCAACTAAACAATAGAGGATTCTACTATTAACAATTCTAACAACAAATGTTACTCCAAGGCAAGCTTAAAATACCAGAGACTGAACCAATTTCAGGGAGGTTCCATATACCAAACCCAGTAAAGAGTCATAGCATTAACATCCCACAACACAATGGAACAAAACCAGAAAACTTTGATCAGGCCTCTAAAGACTTACATATCTCCACTTAAGCAAAAAAAAAACCAGAAAAACCATTAAAAAAACTCCATCCCTAACAAGCACCACCCCTTGAAAAACATCAGCTCTACTCATCTGCAGCAACCGTCACCAGCTCATACTCCACCAGCGACATATTGTTATCATCTTTTACCACGAAATTAGCAGGTTCAGTGACTTCAATGCGACCCCACTTGTCAACAGCTAGCCTCATGGAACCTTTGAACATGTCGATCTTTGAGTTTCGGATTATGATAGTGGTTTCAGGCTTCACCAAGTCAACTGCAGCAGGAACCCAAAGCAGAGATCAATTTGTGAAAATGAGACTACAGCAATCAGGACATCGGTAGCAAAAGCATCCATATGGCTTTTCTTGCTCGAGGAGCAAATAAAAACACAGACAAGATAAACTCGCCACCCTAACATCTAGAACAGACTGATAGAGGAACACGCCATCGAATTTAGACCAAAATAAGGCAAAACTCCATTCATTACACTTCACTGGTTCATAACAATCTTAAAGCGACAGAGGCAGTAGTTCATCAGATGCTAGTTTCTAGCAGCAAGAACAGACAAATGTGCATAAGGGAAAGCAACAGAGAAATTGTGCCTTAATTCTGCCAATTATCTCATCTCAAACGTCAAACCTAATTTATGCCTCACATCCCCCCATTAAGCACCTTTAAAGTGCAAAACTAACTTAAAAAGGAAACTCGGAGCAGTAGCGAACCACAGGAGCTCAGCTCATCAGCAAAGAAATGACACCCACAAACAACATGAATAGCCCAGACCAACCAACATTTCAGAACCCAGAAATTCCCTTCTTCAGCAAACACTACAGATCTCGAAACCCCACCACCACCATAATTTCAAATACACAATCACAGACGAGAAGAAAATAGACGGGAACAAACGTACCTTGTTCGTTGCGGGCGGTAAGGAGGATGGTCCCGGTCTCGTCGCCGACGAGGCACTCCGCGATGCGAGTGTTGCGGAGGCGCTGAGACGCTGCCCGGCCCTTCTGCAAGACGGTGTTGGACGACAAAACCTTGACGATCAGGTTGTTGTTCTGGGTCCCCGGCTTCAGCTGGTCGACTTTCACGAACACCGGCTTCTTCTTCTCCACCACCACCCCCGCGCCCTGCTGCTGCTGCTGCTGATTCGAGTTCGCGACGGTCGCCATTTGATTCGAGCGCGATAGATTCAGAGGTCCTTCGTTTATCCGGGAACTGGAAGGTAGCTAGCGAGGCGAAGTGTCGCCTTTTGGGAAAGGAATGGAAAACCCTAGATGGATGGAAGGAAGGTCAGAGTTTTGGCCGATTGGTATTCCTCTCTCTCTCTCTTCTCGGACCAACCCGTGCGTTTCGCTCCCATTTTCTTGCTGTTTCCAATTTTAACTCCCCTTCCCATACGTCGTCGTTTCTGGATGGCATAATTGTGTGTGACAACTCGCAATAAGCCATATTAATGATCATATACTGTCTTACTGAACTACGAAACAGAATTTGATCTAGCGATTTCACTGCTGGTTTTCAATTCGAGCATCCCAAGTTCAATTTACGACCATCGTCCACTCATGAAGTTTGATTTGGATGGATAGTTTTTATCTAGCGATTTCACTGCTCGTTTTTATTCCGAAGATCTCAAATTCAACTTACGACCATCGTCCACTCGTGAAGTTTGATTTGGATGGATAGTTTGGAATGTTGTATTGGGTGACATGCATTGGTTTTCATAGGAGACCATTAAATCCAGGACAACCTTCACTATAATTTGGTAAGAACATAACAAAAAGGGAAGGAAGAAGCACATGTGTTTCATGTTTCAAACACTGGAGGACATAGATATGATGAACTGAACAGAGAGCATTCTACTATCAACAGCTTCAATAACAAAAGGGTTAAGATCGGGTAGTTCAATTTACCAGATAATGGAGAACCAAACTTTTAGAGAGGTCCTGTATACCACTCAGAAGTCAGAAACAAGATTGAGAATGCTTCCCCAAATAGCATTTACCACCACCTCAGGACAACAAATGTAAGAGAACCCGAAAAACTCTTGATCGTGCCTCTAGAGGCTTAATATGAACTCCCCCTAAGACGAACACCACCGATCGTGAAAGCAGTCCGCTCTACTCATCTGCAGCGACAGTCACCAGTTCGTACTCCACGAGCGACAGGTTGTTGTCCTCTTCTACCGTGAAATTAGCAGGTTCGGTGGCTTCGATGCGACCCCACTTGTCTACAGCCAGCCTCATGGAGCCCTTGAACATGTCGATCTTTGCGTTCCGGATTATGATGGTGGTGTTGGGCTTCACCAAGTCAACTGTGCAGCAGTAACACAATTCATAAGAGAATACACAATCAAAGAGATGAATCGTTACGCGGTGCAAGGCCAAAGCTGGAGGATCAAACCAGAAACAACACAAACATTGATGAAAACATACGATGCACAATGCAGGTGAAGACATCTTAAACAGACCCTCCAAGAGGAAACATGGCATTCAGTAAATGGCAGTATGAGGGAACAAGCAGTAGTTTATTCGATTCCAAGGGAACAAGTATAGTTTAGGCCATTTCAGTGAGCAATGAGCACAGTAGAATGCCTTGATTTGCCCACTTCAAAACAGTAATGAACATGGAAGCTCATCATCATTCACCACCAAATGAAATGAACATCAATCGCTAGACCCTCAAAATTTCCATAATGAGCAATTCAATCCCCCCCTCAGCAGAACAAATCTCAAAGCCGCTAATAAAAGAAACCCCCACAATTTCTATCGAACAAAGGAAAGAGGGACGGACCTTGCTCATTGCGAGCTTTGAGGAGGATAGTCCCGGTCTCGTCGCCGACGAGGCACTCGGCGATGCGTGTTTTTTGGGGGCGCTGAGACGCTGCTGCCGCCGCCGCTGGCCGGGGGCCCTTCTCTAGGACGGCGTTGAAGGACAAGACTTTCACGATCAGGTTGTGGTTTTGAGTCCCTGGCTTCAGGTGGTCGACTTTCACGAACACCGGCTTCCGCTTCGCCACCGCCGCCGACTGTCTCTGCCGCTGATTCGAGTTCGCCGTCGCCATGGATTCGCGTGGGAGGAATCGAAACCCCAAGGTGGAAGGAAGGTGGCGATTGGGTTGGGGATTCCCTATCTCTCACACTCTCTACCCAAATTCGGTGCTCCCTCCTCCGCAACAACAACTCGTGTAGGTTTCGCTACCAATTCCGGCTCTTCCCAATTTTAACTGCGTTTTACAGTTCGTACGGCGAAGTTTCTTGTGGTGGCTTCCGGCTAACGGCGGGCCGTTTTTCAGTGAATGGTAAGATTGGACTGGGCCGCTTTCCGTCTTAACGGATTTTATATAATTGGGCCTCGGCCTGTCTAGGCGGCATATATTGAGAGAATGAGTGAACCCGAGTCTCAGAATTTTAATGGATTTGTATGCTTTGCCTGGCATGGAAGCAAGGTGAATCCATTTCTTGAGCCCGGCCAGCTGGCCGGAAAGTGATTTTTTTTTTCCATATAATTTAGTATGTAACTCAAGACAATGTTTTAACACAGATTAAATTGTTGTGCATTGCTGATAGTACAAAACTAAACATTTATATTATATAGTAACTCATTAGAATAAAAAACTTGTTCCATCAATTCTGGTAGTACATGAGTACTTCATGGAGGTAGAATCTAATGATATTGATATAGTTTAGTATTTATCCAGTAGGAACGTGACTTGTGAATATATGATCCCAATCATGTTTTTTAAATTTTTTTCGAACATATATCAAAATGGATATCGTTGTGTAGATCACATAAAATTTGATTTTTGGGCACAAATATATGTAAATTCGGAGTTCAAACAAAATAAATACGGATCAATTAATAATAGTATGGGATTGAAAATAGAGAGTGTGTGCTAGGTGGCTCATTTTATTAGATTACTGAAAAACTTGAAAGAAAAAATATAAAAAATAAAATCCTCTTTTAACATAGACCGTTAGATATACGAAGGAAAGATAATCAAGTAAAATGAAAGAAAAAATCTGATTAGTGGGAGGGCTGCTGACGTGGATAAGTAGTAGGGGTGGGCATTCGGTCGGTTCGGTTCAAACCGAACCGAAATTATGCATACCGGGTCTCCGAATTCTATCAAACCTCAAACCGAATTCGAACCGAATTATAATTCAGTTCGGTCGGTTCAAACCGAATTATAATTCGGTTCGGTTCGGTTTTTCATACAAAACCGAAATAGTGAGGTTAGCTTGTATCTTCTCTTTTTTAAATTATTTTTCACCCATAATGTAAACAATAAATATGCATCATCAATAATAAAATCAAACATTTCAACACATAAGTCATAAAACACTAACATGATTCAAATATTTAAGTCTCATAATAAGTAGAAACATAAAAATCCACCATTTAAAGCTTGCAATTATAATAATTCGGTTTTTCGGTTCGGAATTCGGAAATTCGGTTCGGTCGAAAGGACCCTGATTTCCGAAATATGCCCTTTTCTCTTCCGAATTCCGAACCGAATAACATTAATTCGGTTTCGGTTCGGTTTATATTCGGTTCGGTTAGGTTCGGTTCGGTTTTACCGAACCGTATGCCCACCCCTAATAAGTAGGAATGATAGAATTTTGAAATAATGAAGCTTTTAGAGAGAAAGTCTATATTATATATCTGTGATTTAGATAATTGATCTTCCTTTCATTTTGAAGCTCAAACGA